CCCCCCCCCCCCCAAAAACTAATTTTTCTTTCCTTTTATAATACAGAAAAAATAAAAACAAATTGAACTATTCTGTTGGAGCAACGATAAAATTCACTACAAAATTTACACTGCCCCTCTTCCAGTAAAGCTGTCTTTAAAGAATGCTTTGACCTATTAATATACGAATGACCATTCCAAGCACTGATTGGCTGACTGCATAGGAACTGATCAGCAGCAAGTCTGAGGTTCGATATCAAGGCATTTCCACAAAGCCAAAATTCAAGCTAACACTAGTAGTAAGCACTGAAGACTATATCTAACACTGTGACTATTTCACTAAACACTTTGCCATTTTCAAAATGCAAGTCTAGCTACACACTAACAATGAGGAAACAAGCTTGTAGCACCCAAGAAGACTTAACCCAGTCTCCTTAAACATTTTATGATAAATAGAAATTCAAATAGTACAAATTTCTTCTAAATTATTGCAGATGCCCTCCCACTGACCTAACAACAATTCACCAAGAGGATGAGCTCCTAGTGATATGGCAGAACTAAGTGCATATATGTAGTTATGTGCAGTATTTGAGATGTGTAAGTGGGCGCATTCATTTCAGGCTCTTTCCCAATCTGAAGAACATGTATTGCTTAGTTCAGCATGCAGTCCATGGGAAATGTAGAAATGCACAGTAAAGTGTGAGCTCCTTCGGACACTCACACAAAGCACAATAGGCCTATGAACTGACCTGCGGCTCAGCTGAGCGCTATGGCAAAGCAGATTCAAGCCCTTTAACAACAACAAAAAAAAAAACTACCACCACTAAAATCCTTTTAGGTAAGGATATCTTTTATACTCTTTTTAGTTGTGTGAGCATGCGTCAGGTCCTTGACATGGAGTGATACAGTGTTGGGATAGATAACAGAGGAAGAATAGTAATGGTTTATTGAGAATCTAGAAACTGAACTGATAAAACATTTTAGAGCCTAAATCTCTTTCTATTCTACCTGGAGATCATAGAGTTGGACTGTGACTGGCTGGAGGATGTGGTGGCGGCGCTGAGCTGAGAGAAACCACTGTGACTGGATTCCAGACTGGTCATTGAGCCCCTGAGATTAGAACAGAATAGAATAGCATGTGAGAAATTAATAAGCCTGAAGGCTGTAAATAAAATTCTGTAAGAAAAAAAGGTTTAAGGAAAATGTGTAGATCAGTGGTTCCCAACCATGCTCATGGAGGCCCCCCCAACACTGCATTATTTCCATGTCTCCTTAATCAAACACACCTGATTCAGATCATCAGCTCATTAGTACAGACTCCAAGAGCTGAAATGGTTGTGTCAGACAAAGGAGAGATGCAAAATGTGCAGTGTTGGGGGGCCTCCAGGAACGTGGTTGGGAACCACTGGTCTTGATACTATAATTTAATAAAAACCTGTAAGCTACACTCGCTCATGCATATTGTTTTTTTCGGTGTTCATATACAGTTAAATACCCATAGCTTAAGCAGGACATGCAGTTAGAATAAATACAGTGGTGTGAAAAAGTGTTGGCCCCCTTCCTGATTTCTTATTTTTTTGCATGTTTGTCACACTTTTCAAACACACCTGATTCAGATCATCAGCTCATTAGTAGAGACTCCAAGACCTGAAATGGGTGTGTCAGACAAAGGAGTGATGCAAAATGTGCAGTGTTGGGGGGCCTCCAGGAACGTGGTTGGGAACCACTGGTCTTGATACTATAATTTAATAAAAACCTGTAAGCTACACTCGCTCATGCATATTGTTTTTTTCGGTGTTCATATACAGTTAAATACCCATAGCTTAAGCAGGACATGCAGTTAGAGTGTGACAAACATGCAAAAAAATAAGAAATCAGGAAGGGGGCCAACACTTTTTCACACCACTGTAGGTAATGAGGAAATATTCAAGTTATCAAAGCCCAAGCGAGTTTAGAATCCTCATAAAAAATTATGTAAACCTTACAGGCAGACAATGATGTTTTTTCTGCTCATTTACCAGCCATAAGACTTCTTAAAAATTTTTACATTAAATGCTGTTGCTTATACAAAAAACACACACTTGAAACACATTTCCTTATCTTGGGCATTCATTGGCTGGTTGGCAAAAAGTAAATTATCATACCGTGCTTACACAATCAATTAAGGTAGCCTGTCATTTGCAAAAAAACATTTGACAAGCATCTAGCCAGAGCATTTTATTAGTATTCAATGTTCCTGTTCTTCATGGCTTCAGAATACATTATTCAAACTGCCTACATAAAGCTCACATAACCACCATATTAAGGCTTTTCACACCAAGTCTGATGCAGTAACAAAAAAAGTTTGCCAAAAAACTGACCCAGTTACAATGTAAATCTTAGTAATTTTCTGAAATAAATAAATACAAATTTGCATGCCTGAATCAAAATGCACTCCAGTCATTCACATGCTTTAATGCAAATTACAACCCCATTACAAATTTATCCAGTCATCCAGTTTTGTTTTTTACAAACAAACAAAAAAAGGGTCATTCTGAAGAGCTCAGTGAATACAAGCGTGGTAATGTGATAACTGAAATTTCATCCCTGCTACAAATTCCATGGTGAACTGTAAGTGGTTTTATTGGAAAGTGGAACCATTTAGGAAAAGCACCAGCTCAGCCATAAAGAAGACCACATAAAGTCACAGAGCAGGGCCACAGACATCTGAGGCGCGTGGTGCATAAAAGCCTAATTCCATGGCTTAAGAGTTCCAAACTTCCCCTGGCATTAATATTAGCACAAAAACGGTGTTTCTGTTTATGCTACAAATTATTAAGTTCCTCTAACACAATGTAGTTTGTTGATTGAACATAATTTCATTAGAAGTTTTCATAACTCAAAAAGATTGATGCAAATAGTTGCATTAATTTTATTTTATATCTTTCCACACATTATTTTTTTTAGTGTGAACTTTGTGGGAACAGTTTGGGGAAGGCTCTTTTCTATTCCAGCATGACTGTGCCCCAGTGCACAAAGCAAGGTCCAAAGAGACATGGTTGGATGAGTTTGGTGTGAAAAACCTTGACTGACCTGCACAAAGCCCTGACTTCAACCCCATTGAACACCTTAGAAATTAACTGGAATGGAGACTACAAGCCAGGCCTTCTCGTCCAATATCAGTGCCTGACCTCACAAAAACTCAACTGGATGAATGGGCAAAAATTCCCAGTTCCAAACTTCAAAATCTTGTGAAGGGTCTTCCTAGATGCATGGAAAGAGGGAGGATCAACTCCATATTAAATTAGAATGCAATGTCATTTAAGTCCCTGCTCGTGTAATGATCAGGTGTCCCAATACATTTGTCCATAGTGTATATAATCAGTTTACAAATTATTGGGGAAAAAATTGGGAAATTTTGGATAGGGTTTTTAATAGGAAACAGGTTTTCAAAAGCTTGTCATTTTCATGTAGGCTTATCATCGTCTCACGTCAGCTGTATTACATCAGCCTGCACATACTAAATGCAGAGTTAGAGGGTGATATACAAGCCAAGCATGGTTGAGCAGGCAGAATTAACAGAGCTTTGTTAGCATGATGATAATGCTAACAATCACAATCCACTGACACAGCACAGTCGTTAAGCTAACGACAAACAAGTTCACTTACAAACTCTGTACATCGCAGCAAGCCGTTCTTTACAGGGAGAAACAGAAAGGAGGGTGGTCGTGTGCAGAAGGGAGAGAGAGAAAAAAAGCAGCAGGCTTGGACACTGCTCATAACTATTTTGCTCTATTTTTACTTTAATAAGACAATACTGGTAAAACATAGACACAGCCAAAACAGAAAAGTAATAGCCAGTTTAAATAAAGAAGCTGGAATTATGACAAAAAAAAAAAAACATTCAAGTCATTTTGATTAAAATAAAATTTAAAGGGGTCATATGATCCGATTTCAATTTTTCCTTTCTCTTTGAAGTGTTACAAGCTCTTGGTGCATAAAGAAAATCTGTAAAGTTGCAAAGACTAAAGTCTCAAATCCAAAGAGATATTCTTTATAAAAGTTAAGAGTCAACCACGCCTACCTAAAACGGCTCGTTCTAACACATGTCTACGTCACGATGTGGGAAGATTTGCATAACGCCGCCCAAATGTTCACGCAAAGAAAGAAGGCATAACTTTTATTCTCGCTGTAGTATTGTTGCTGCCGCCATGTCGAGACGCTGTGTGTTTCGTTGTGAAAGCTAAACTACTTTGTTTGGCCTTCCAAAAGAGGACGATATCCGCTTCGTCATGCCTAGAGCTGATCCGTGCTGGTCACTGAGGGAATACATCAACTTCGCGCTGTGGATTGCCACATGTGGTTGCCGCAAGCCCACTGGCCACACTGTTCTCAAGCCTGCCCGCCGCTGCTCACTCTAGGCCGCCGGCCGCCGCTCACTCTAGCACGCTTTTCAGACCGATGAGCTTTGTAAAAATCTACGCATTTCAGAAAGGCGGGGCATACAGAAACAATAATGTACAGTATGCGGAAATAATGTGTTTTTTTTTTTACTTTAAACCGCATAAACACATTTCATTACACCAAATACACAAAATAATGTTCTTTTTAGCAACATCATATGACCCCTTTAAAATGACAATAACTAGACAGTGATGAAATGATTACAATAGATATCACACAATTCGGTACTGTTCAGTATGTTTACCTAAAGTCCTCTGAGCCCAGAACCTCAGTGTAGTACATGACTTTGCACTTGTGAGAGGACACCTGCAGAGTAGCCAGAACATCATCCACCCGGGGTAGGTTTGTGGTGGCACATGCTGGCATAGAGTGGAACTTCCATTGCAAAATATAGAATCCTGGCCATCGTGTCACATGTGAACCCTAAATGGTGTGTACATATGTTGGCAGAGTCGTTAAAACAAGGGAAGGAAAAAAGCTGGAATGCAATTTTCAAGACAACTCTTAACTCTCTCTCACATGCAAAGAGGGCATTTACATAGTCTTAAAGGTACAGAAGCAAAGTATGGTATGACCACTATGAACCTTTACTATGACAACTCAATCAGCATAAAACTGGATGCTGGTTGTAACTGACATAGGCCTACCTGTACACTTTCTCCCTCTTTGCAGGTGAGGGGTGACTCTACCATGCTGTAGTCCTGTCCCAGCAGCCAAGATTTATCTATAAGCTGCATGTTGTTGCCTGCAGGAGAGGTGATGCCATGGGTAGCCAGCGGATCTTTCCTAGGCGGCTGTGGAGCCCGTTTAGAGTGATAGATATTGAAGATCACATCACCTTTACATACATCAAAGTCCCAAGTGATGACTGAGGAGGCATCAATGATCTCAATCAGTAGCTGAAGGGGGAGATATAAAAAAGGAAATTGTTTGTTAACTAAAACTGTAGTTTCATTGCTGACCAGTAGGTGGTATTCTGCTTTAAAAATATATATAATAATGTTAGGCCATAAGGTGAAGCCGTTTTTCATTTAATCCCGTGCCCATACACGGGGCACTAAAATCATTCCAATAAAAAGATCTATTGGTTTTGAGCGAGAAAATAAAAGTTATCCATGTGTAATCCTGCAGTTTATTTTTTTATTAGAGTTTAAAATCTGCAATAGTTCTTTCCTCACGTAATCGTATTTTGATCATGAGTGATGAGGCTTCGTGTCACCTGCTTTCCGCTAGACCAGTGGTTCTCAAACTGGGGTCCACAGCCCCCTGGGGGGCCACCAGATGGCGCTAGGGGGGCCGCATAGAAATTCTAGAATCTAGATTAGGAAATTATTATAAAAAATTATTTTACCTGTATGTAACTCAGGATTGTCAATCTATGTAAACTATGATGTATTTAAAAAATATAAATATTTAAAAATAATATCAATTATACACAGCACACTACGGAAACACTCCGTTGATGTACTAGTGCACAGAACGGTTAGCCATGAACACGCTGATAAAAGACTCTTTAAAATGGATACGTTTTTAGATAGAGGATGCAGTGTCTCAGCTGAGAAGGTTAATACAGAAGAGCCTAGCGTGAAAAAAACGAAACTGCGTAAATTTGACGACTCGTACATAAAATATGGCTTTATAGAATATAGTGACGGCAGACCACAGTGCACACTGTGCTTGAAGATTTTATCCGTTGAAGCGCTGAAACCATATAAACTCAACAGACATCTCACAACAATTCATCCGGAGCATACGAATAAAAGTAAGGATTTTTTCCAGAGAAAGAAAGAAGAATACATCAAGCAAAAGGTACGACTGACTAACATCACGACAATACCTGAGAAAGCACAGCAAGCATCGTATCTTGCAGCCCTGCGAATAGCCAAATGTAAAAAGCCTCACACGATCGGGGAGGAATTAATACTTCCAGCAGCAGTGGATATGTGCAGACTGGTGGTCTGGGAGGAGGCCGCGAACAAGATTAAATCCATACCGCTGTCCAACGACACAGTAAGCAGACGGATCAAAGACATCTCTCTTGATGTGAAATGTCAACTGACCGAAAGATTACGATTGTGTGAGCAGTTCGCGCTTCAGCTTGATGAATGCACTGATGTTAGCAGCGCTGCACAGTTGTTAGTGTACGTTCGATATTTATGGGACAGTAAAATTATGGAAGATTTTTTATTTTCAAAAGAACTCGAGGGGAGAGCTACAGGTGAGGAAATTTTCAAAATGTTGGACACTTTCATGGTAGAAGAACATCTGAGTTGGGAAAAATGTGTCTGTTTGCACTGATGGTGCGGCAGCAATGACTGGGCACAGGAGTGGAGTTGCCACGCGAATTCAAGCCATAAATCCAAAGATCGCAGCCACTTACTGTATGCTTCATCGTCAAGTACTTGCATCGAAGTCAATGGCACCCGACCTGCATGATGTTTTGTAAGGCAGGTTGTGTGTACTTGTACAGTGGTTACTAAATTGATGTGTCTGCATTGCATGATTTCTTTTATATTGTAAAACTTGTATAATATTGTATATTTATTTTATATTGTAAAACTATTTCTTTTTAAGAGTAGACATTTTTTTGTTTCTTGCAGAAAAAAAGATTGTTGAAAAAAATCAGATTGCTGTTCAAATTGCAAACCAAACTGTTGAGCCACTGTCATTTTACTACATCAAAATGTAAGAAGTTATTTGACAAATTTTGTATATTCAACATCAGAGAAATAAGGCTACAAACATCATTTAATGTTCCGGCATTGTACAAATTCATTTGTTTTTGGTACAATCTAAAATTTTTTAAGTAAATTGTAAGTTTGGGGATGTTTTACGGCATGAGTTTTTTTGGGGGGGGGCCACAAAAGGATTCACCCTACACAAGGGGGCCTTCTGCTGAAAAAGTTTGAGAACCACTGCGCTAGACCGATAAGGTGGCCACTTTTCGGAACGACATGTAAACATGACTTCAAGATGTCTGTGCCCTTGTCGTCACTACCGAGTAGTGAAGAAGAGGAACTTACGGCCAGACCTCCTTCAAAACTATGTAAAATTTATCATAAACAACGCTATAAGCATCTCACATCCATAAAGAAAAAACAAAGGATTTTACACCTCACGGTGGATACATTCAGAAACGGCGTCAACCAGTGGCTTGGCTTGCAGGATGAGAATCAGAAAATAGCAGAAACATACACACATTGTCTCTGCTTTGTGCATAAAGGACCATCTTTCACAGGCAGAAACGTTGTCAGCAGGTACGTAAAAACAAATACACACACACGTTTGAACTGTTATGCCATATGCTGGGTACCATGGCTAACTTTCAATTAGACTATTTATTTAGTATTTATTGTACAGTCAAGAGTCAGATTTGCATGTTGATGTTTTGCATACAGCTACAGCCAGAACACTTAGTATTGTTTAACTGCAAACACAGTTTTTATTTAATGGTTATTATTTACAAATTAATGAAATTAATTTTAACTGAAATTAAATGAACTGAAAGTGATAGGCTGAGATGAAAAGACAATAGCATTCTTGTGCATAAAGATTCTGTGTCTCTGGAGGTGCGATACCACAAGTCCTGTTACAGACAGCATACCAGGTTCTTGACAGTTTACTGCAGGGGTCTCAAACCCTGAGCAACTGTCCTGCAGATTTCAGCTCCGATCCCAATCAAACACACTTAATATAGTGGTTCATGAAGGTTAAAGAAAATAGGGTAACACTTTACATTAAGGTTCCCTTTATAAAGTGTTTATAAAGGTGTTCATAAATGACTAATAACTCATTTACAAATGCATTATAAATCATTGATAAGCAGTTATAAATGCACGAATAAAAAGGGTGATTTTAATGCAATACCTGACAAATAGTGAGCCATTTTTAAATCACATGTTATAAATGCTTAATAAATATATGTATTAATTAGTGGTGTCAAAATTAGCGCGTTAACGCAGGCGATTCATTAGGTGGCCACTTTTCGGAACGACATGTAAACATGACTTCAAGATGTCTGTGCCCTTGTCGTCACTACCGAGTAGTGAAGAAGAGGAACTTACGGCCAGACCTCCTTCAAAACTATGTAAAATTTATCATAAACAACGCTATAAGCATCTCACATCCATAAAGAAAAAACAAAGGATTTTACACCTCACGGTGGATACATTCAGAAACGGCGTCAACCAGTGGCTTGGCTTGCAGGATGAGAATCAGAAAATAGCAGAAACATACACACATTGTCTCTGCTTTGTGCATAAAGGACCATCTTTCACAGGCAGAAACGTTGTCAGCAGGTACGTAAAAACAAATACACACACACGTTTGAACTGTTATGCCATATGCTGGGTACCATGGCTAACTTTCAATTAGACTATTTATTTAGTATTTATTGTACAGTCAAGAGTCAGATTTGCATGTTGATGTTTTGCATACAGCTACAGCCAGAACACTTAGTATTGTTTAACTGCAAACACAGTTTTTATTTAATGGTTATTATTTACAAATTAATGAAATTAATTTTAACTGAAATTAAATGAACTGAAAGTGATAGGCTGAGATGAAAAGACAATAGCATTCTTGTGCATAAAGATTCTGTGTCTCTGGAGGTGCGATACCACAAGTCCTGTTACAGACAGCATACCAGGTTCTTGACAGTTTACTGCAGGGGTCTCAAACCCTGAGCAACTGTCCTGCAGATTTCAGCTCCGATCCCAATCAAACACACTTAATATAGTGGTTCATGAAGGTTAAAGAAAATAGGGTAACACTTTACATTAAGGTTCCCTTTATAAAGTGTTTATAAAGGTGTTCATAAATGACTAATAACTCATTTACAAATGCATTATAAATCATTGATAAGCAGTTATAAATGCACGAATAAAAAGGGTGATTTTAATGCAATACCTGACAAATAGTGAGCCATTTTTAAATCACATGTTATAAATGCTTAATAAATATATGTATTAATTAGTGGTGTCAAAATTAGCGCGTTAACGCAGGCGATTCATTTTTTCAGTTTAACGCGTTAAAAATATTTAATGCAATTAACACAGGGGCGAGGCTAGGGTTGGCCACCCCACTCACAACTGCTGCTTCTGTCACTTTTTCTCTTGACAAGAAGTGCATTTATTCAGTCACAGAATGACTGAGAACGTGAGACATTTCAGATGCGCGCTCCACTTCACTTCAGCGGCAGGCGCGAGTCAAGCGAGCGCGGAAATGGTACTGTGCTTGCAGCGTGAGCTCTTCAATTGCACGCACAAAGGCACCGGCGCGCACTGTAGCCTGTATCCTTTCATATCAAAGCGCTTAATAAACTACGTACATGCAATGCCGTGGTCAGTTAAAGTGCCCCTATTATGGGTAATGAAATATTAATATTTTGGTTTTGGGAGTCGCCAACAACAGGTTGACATGCATGCAAGGTCAAAAAACATTTTTATTGTCTGATAATATGCATTTATTTTTACCTTATTTGCTCAACGACTCCCAAACGATTCGTTTAACGATTCATTTTTCCAAACCCCTCCTTTGCTTAACGCTAATCTGTGGTGATTGGTCGATTGGTCTCATTTTCATGTCATCATGCCTGATAAAGCAGTATTTGTGAGCAGTGCTGCTTTGTGTACAGCGTTACCAGGGAAACCGCTATTTTTACCGCTCCAAAAGTGGCACCTAGTGGCAAAGAATGAAT